TGTGGGTGAAAATTTCAGACCATTCGGAGGTGATTTGGTTAGGCTTTTGATCGAATGTGTGTTTCGAAAGTTTTTGAAGAACTTAGGCTTGAATTCGATGAGAATTGATGGTTTTAGTGTTGTTTGAGGTGTTTTATTGATTGAAACAAGTTTGAATGATGATATAAGAGGTGTTGGTGCTTTTGGTTGAGGTCCCGGGGGCCTCGGGGTGATTTCGGATGGTTAACGGGAAGTTTTGGACTTGCGAAATTGGAAATTGCTGCTGCTTCTGGTATTTTCGCTTCTGCGGAAATGGGACCGCAGAAGCGGTCTCGCAGATGCGAGATAGAGGACCGCAGGTGCAGTTTTGTGAAGGCTCGTCAGGGACCGCAGATGCGGAGTGGGGACCGCATCTGCGGAGTCGCAGATGCGACTGGTTGACTGCAGATGCGGTGTTTGTGACTTTAGTGGAATACGCAAATGTGGAGGGAATATAGCAGAAGCGGTAACCGCAGAAGCGGTTTCGACTGGGCAGAGGCATTTAAATTCATCATCGCGAATTTTTGAAGGGTTTTCTCATTTTTACTCGGACTTGGAGGATTGTGGGCGATTTTGCAGAGAGATTTCAAGGGGTTTCGATAAGGTATGGATTCTTGGACTTAAAACACGATTTTATGGTGTAAATACATGGATTAGAGCTGAAAACTCAAGTAATTAATGGGCAAATAGGGCTTGAAACTTAAGAGAGCAAAAATTGGGATTTGTGGGGTCATTTAGACTCCGATTTTGGTAATCTTTATATGTATAGACTCGTGGCGAGATAAGGAATCCGTTGATATAAAATTCTCGGAACTTCGAGAAGTGGGCCCGGGGCTCGGGTTTTGCTAATTTCGAGATTTTTGCTATTTTTCGATTCTTTTCGATTGGGTTATGTTCCCTTAGCCTATTGTGACGTATTCGTTGTGGTTTTGGTCAGATTCGACGCGCGAGGAGGCCGATTTGCGAGGCAAGGGCATAGCGAGCTAGGATTTTGGTCGGCTTGAGGTGAGTAATGATAGTAAATGATTTCTTGAAGGTTTGAAACCCCGGATTTGCACGATGTAGTGCTATATTGAGGTGAAACACGCGCTTATGTGTACTACTGGGGATTGTGGCTTGGTCCATCCCGACTTGTGTTTTTACCGCATATTTGACTGAGATGAGTTTATTATTAATATGACTTGGGCCTTTTGCCATATTTTGGGCTTCATGCCGACTACTTGAATCCTTCGTGGATTTTTATCACTGAACTCCTAATTTTATCAATTCCAATAAATTAATCAAATTCAAAAGTTGATTCAGATAGGAATCCTCACTATTTTGATATACTACTTGAACTCAGTCCTGTTGATTATATTGTTTTACAAACTCAGCCGCTTTAATTGAACTTTGAGACATAAATGATATTTTCACTGTTGTTTGGGCTGAGCACTACTATTTTATTGAAGTCCGAGGGGCTTATGATGTTTTTCTGGACTGCGTGAGGCCGAGGGCCATATGTGAGGATATATTGAGTGATGTGAGGAGGCTTTCAGGCCTTGTGAGTGATGTGAGGAGGCTTTCAGGCCTTATGAGTGATGTGAGAAGGCTTTCAGGCCTTATGTTGATATAGCGCTTGGGCCGTAAGGGGCCCCTCCTGAGTCAGCAGACCCACTGTGAGCGCGGGTACCCATATGATCTGAGAGTGAGCCCGAGGGGATGATGCTATGCTGAGTGACTGATACTGAGCCTGAGGGGCTGACACTGTTCTGAGCGATTGATACTGGGCCCGAGGGGCAGATTCCTACTCACTATCTACTTGTTGTTTACATGATTTACCTGTTTTTAAAAGGAGATTTCATTTGACTCTTTACTGTTTTACTGCTTTAAGTGAGTTACTGCCTGATATAGAATTGCCTTGTGCACTTATGTGTTTTTATGCCTTCGGTTATTATTTATTATTTTTACTCACTGGGTCGGAGTACTCACATTACTCCCTGCACCATGCGTGCAGATTCAGGCATAGCAGAGTCCGCACCTGAGCGCTGATTCCTTCCAGACCAGGCAGCGATTTGGAGTTACGAGGTAGCTGTTAACGTCCGCAGCCCCTTGTCTCCCCTATCCTCTATCATTTATGTTTTCTTCAGACTATTGTACCGAATTTCATAGTTTGTAGACTTATAGAAAACTCTGTAGTAGCTCATGACTTGTGACACCCCAGTTTGGGCTGTGTCGGGATGGTTTCCCTTGTTATTGTCGCTGTTCCGCATTATTGGCTATATTAAGCATGTATTAGAATTGTTAATGTTAATTAATTGCTTTAACAGAGGCATTTGCGTTGTTCTGGCTGGCCTTGTCTTCACGAGTGGCGCCATCACGACCGGGTTTGGGAATTGTGTCGTGACACATACTGTGAGACTTTAATGGGCTATACGGATGAAAACTTTAAATGATGGCTATGCAGATGAAAAGCACCTACGCGGACTCTATTTTTATGCAATTATCCCTGATATTTAGGAACATAAGTTAGATCAGAAAAGATATCTAACTTAATTTTAAAATTATACGGACAAATTTTAATTAAGACTTTAAAGGATAATAGGAATTCCACTTCGTTTAGAATATTATAAGCGTTTAAAGAGCTTAGTACTGAAGTTTCTTTTGTATTAGTTTTGTGAATATTTAAGATTTCTAAATCAATTAAAAAATTTAATTCCTTTTTCATATATAACTCAACATCTCCACGTTTTGGAATTGCTCCATTGAAGGGAAAGTAAAGTAAATAGACTCCTAGAGCTATTTGACTTTTAAGAGGAATCTATTGATTTTACGTTTTTGTACATTGTATTAAAGAGATAATTTAATTTTTAAAGGATATTTTTGTAAACCGACATTGTATTTGTGCTTTTATATTAATATAGATATAGATATAGATATAGATAGATAGATATAGATATAGATAAATAGATATAGATATAGATATTTATTTATAATATCTATATAACTAGTTATATAGATATAATATAATATCTATATTATTTATAAATCTTTTATAATAATATAACTAGTTACTATGTACGTGCGTTGCACGTAAATCTTTAGTCAGAACTTTTATGTGAAAGAACAACTAACTAAATTTAGTAACAGTTTATTTACAAGATGATATGATCATTGTAAAGTAAACATGATAAAAATACATCAATTATTTAAATGCTAAAAATTATTTATTATATTAATAGAATACTTGAATTCAAAATGACATTGTTTTAACCTACAAAGATGATCAATTTAGTTAAGTTAAATAATATCTTATTTATAGTGTACAAATATTCAGTGTGGTGGTATCATATCTAATACTTCTTTATAGAGGACGTTATTAGTGTATGTTTCCTTCTATAACTTTGGCTTCTCCATCTCAAAAGTAAAACATATAATTGTCCATCTTTGAATCACTTCCAAAAAGTATTACTTTTTCACTACTGCACTTTGACATATTTGTGAGGGTTGTATCTATTATATATAAAGTTATGTCGAATTTAAATTATGTCGGATATAACCCGAGAAAATTATTACTGCTTTATCATATTCAAAGCAATAAAATATTAATCCTACACGTGTTTTTATAAATCAAGTCCATGACTAATTGTTTTTAACCAATCATCACGCAATACATAAATAATATTATTCTAAAGTATTTTTGCTTTTTATTTGAATATAAATTGATGTAAATCTTGAATTAAAAACAATTCATGGCACATGAACATCTAATAAAAATAAACGAATCAAAGAAACAATTTGTTAAACTTTGATATATAGGAGACTTGGACGAACTTGTTCTAGAAAAACTAATCTAACATCAATCGATTTTCTTTGAAAACTTGTAAATGAATCAATTAGTCATACTTATGTAAGAATAAATAAATTAAAGAGTCAATATCATATGTATTATTAGAAACACTTTATTATCATGTAAAAGAAAAATACTCATATGAACTTGCCCCTATTTTTATCCACTAAAATTAGATTTTATATTTTAAAAAATATCGTTTAATTATTTTCTTATTAGTTAATATTTTAAAAAATAACTCAATTTATTTGAATTAGGTAGTAGCTCCTAATATTTAGGTGAAAATACTAACTTAATTTAGTTTTAGCTTTATATGAACTAAATAAAAATTAAGATTTTAAAGGATAGTAAGAATTTTTAACTTTGTAAAATGTCATAGATGTTTTAAGAATGTAGTACTAAAAGTTTAGTACGTGCCTATATTTCAGTACGTTCCTTGTTCTAAAAGAAGTGTAATTAAGAACAACAATTCTTTGAAAGAAAATTATGGACGCACTTTTCTAATTCAAGTAGGATCAACGTTACAGGATCGGGTATATGTGTAGTTTAATCGAAAAAGAATTCCAGCATTAGGTAATTTACCATTAGATCCTTAAATTATACAAATATTTAAGGGCATAAAAGTCGATCAATATTTCAGGGATATTTTAGTCGTTCAACATTTAGCATAAATTATTCGTGCTTTTATAATAAAATATAGATATAGATAGATATAGATATAGATATAGATAGATATAGATTTATATATTATAAATGGTCAACAATTCATTCCGTTTAGGGCAAGACCTCATCAAAAAGATATTGTGATGAGACATTAAATGGACATCATAAGGTGTATATAACGTGTCTAATTCTGGCTTTCCATTGGCTAAAATTTCTTATGACTAAAAATTTCAAGCTACGATGTTGGCACCTGGTGCGACATAAGCAAACATGGCCTGACATAAGTACCTGATTTAGAAATAGGCTATGCTTCACATTTAACAGCTAAGTTATTAGCTTGCCCCAATTACGTGTGCGCTCCAAAGCCAGCACATGTCAAAAACAAGTGCCTTTATTGGGTTTTAACATAAGCAGGTGATCCGCGACTTTCCCACGCTTACTGTCCAACCTTAAAATAGCCCAAATTCTCTCTCACAATCATCCAATATCCAAAGAAGCCTAAGTAGCAATAACTCCACTGCGTGTCATATTGCATGGCTGATCATTTCTTTAACGTTACCCCAAGCGACAATCCTCCTCCTTCAGAAAACTTCTCCCCCACTGGCTCTGCTAGTGGTAATGTACTATCACCTCGTAGGCATCCGAATTTTCGAGGAATTCGGCAAAGGAACGGTAAATGGGTGTCTGAAATTCGCGAGCCTCGAAAAACTACGCGTATTTGGCTAGGTACCTTCTCCACTCCTGAGATGGCTGCTGCTGCATATGACGTTGCAGCTTTGGCATTAAAAGGTCCTGATGCTCCCTTAAATTTCCCAGATTCCGCTTACTCGTATCCCGTCCCGGCTTCTCTTTCGGCCGTGGACATTCGTGCTGCTGCTGCAAATGCTGCTGCTGCTAGAGCACCTCCAATTTCAGAAAGCAATAGTCATGAAGTACTGGCTTATACTGGAAATTATGAAGGGGCGTCGACTACTGTAGCAGCTACATTTGTGGATGAAGAGGAAATTTTTGGAATGCCGAAATTGCTGGACGAAATGGCAGAGGCAATGCTTGTTAGCCCGCCAAGGATGCATCAGTCAACATCTTACGATGAATCACCAGAAAATTCTGATGCAGATAATCTCTGGAGCTATCCTTAAATTATTATGGCCCCCATGTACAGTCCAGAACTAGAATAACGGAACCACTATTACTACAAGTTAAGTGTGCATTTGCTTTTTTGGCCAAGTAGTCCTTGACAAATAGTTTTCGGTAAGGACGTGCGTTTGGATGTGAACAAGTGCTTGTATTTCCTTTTTCTTCCTTTCAGCAAGAAAGGAAGTTACTTTTCTTTTATTGAAAACAATTAATTATGACTTCTCAAAAATTAAAACTATTAATTCAGAAGTCAAAGGAAATTGTTTTCAATTTTTGCGTAACTTCTTCAAAATGAATACACCCATATAAACTTGGTGTATGGACTCTCATTATTGTTTATAGTTGAGAAGTCCCTTTTCTTGTAATGTACGAGTAATTAATCTTGATGAAGTCTGTTGGGTAAACTTAAAACTGTACTAATACGGATGAAGCAGTAGTCATAAAAAAATATGTCTTCCATCTGGGTATTATGAAGCTCTTAGGAACCAAGTAAATGGGGTCAAGAGAGCTTGCTATTTCTAGTGTGGAGTAATAAATGCCTTTAATATATTAATATGTCCAGTTTACTAAAATAAAAATAAAAAAAAAGAATGCCTATGTCTACAGCTGTGAGATTTTTTTTGTTGTTGACATAATGAATGATATGATAGCTATGTTATTCATTAATAATGTGATATTCCGTAGTACTAATAGTTGTCTTACTAACTACTAATGTCTAGTACTATCTTTGTTCCAATTTATATGATGGAATATAAAAATATTAAAAAAAAAAAGACGTTTGACATATAAGAGATCAAATATATGCAAAGTATTAAAAATCATCATTTTAAAATAAGTAGCACTATTTTATATCTTTTGATTTTCGTTCTCCTTATAAAAGAATGAACTTTTATATAAAATGCATCCCAATAAGTTATGTCATTAGAGTAAAATAAAAACATTAATTCTAGATTTTTGTTAGTTATCTTTTTCTTATTACTTGTCATATCTTATTTGTTTTTAGAAGTATTTGTAAGACGGATTTTAAAACTATATGGAAAATTCTAGAAAAGATCAGTTTTAGAAGAGAAAGCAAGATGTATTTCATTTACTTCACTTTAAATTTACTCTTAAAATTGTTCTTAACTTAAGATAATTTAATGTTTTGCTATTAATTTTTCCTACTACATTACATTAGTTATCTTGAATGACATGCGATAAAAACCAAATAGATTAGATTTGTAAAATTGAGTAATATAGACCAAGGTATTATGGGTAACAAATTCCTATTTAAGCGAGACATATGTTTTGGATTGTACATTGTATGTCTAGATTTCACTATATAAACCAATATTTCGCGATAAATACAAATAATTCAATGGTTATTGGATACGTTGATGGAATACATGCTTCTATTATTAATCGTTTTCAATTATATATTAATTGGGAAAAGATATAAGTTCCATCTCAAACTTCTTATAAATTTTTAGTTACACGCCTAAACCTTACGTTCCGTATCCTCTTAATAAGACATTCACCACTCGCAGTGCCACATGTGTCATAACAACAATAATAACAACAAACCCGGTGTATTCTCATAAGTGGAGTCTGGGGAAGTAATGAGTACGCAGACCTTACTCCTACCTTATTAAGATAAAGATGATATTTCTAATAGACCCTCAACTCAAGAAACAGTAAAGATAAAACAACAAGTAGCAAATAATAGTAACAACAATATATTAAGGTAACATGTGTCATAACGCTAAAAAAAATTGAAGAAAAACAGCAATCTACCCTGCCACACTCCCTCACACCTGATAACCAAGACCTCTTCCCTAAATACATTTCTAATTCTAATTAATGAACACAATTGGAAATTGGAAATAGAATATGCACGGAAGGTCTATATATTATGAAACGGTAACTCTAATTCTTGATCAGGTTTACCGTTCATGTAAAAGCCTTTTGGTCCCCTTTAGCTTTTGCTTAGAAGATAATTTAAGCTTATTTAGACTTATCCACATTGTCCCCCCTGTGTACGTAGCTTTCTTTCTTAAATAAATCCTGCTAGTACTAGCAGTACCAATTAAGGGAATTTATAAAGGATAAAGGGCTATTCCTTCCAAAATTGTACATAATGGCTATCATAAACTGAAAAGGACTTGGTATCAGAAACGTACGTTTAGTATATTCTAAGAGCTTTTGGAAAGAGAACTTTGAATGTAGAATCGCAATCCCCAAGTGAAATGTTTGTTACATTGACACGATACAAATTTTAAAAACTTAAGAAAGGCTTGGAAAAGATTAAACTTAAATCTACTTTTCACTAATTAACTAGGAGTATTCACAAATTTAAAGTTGCTTTTTATAAAGAATTTTGAATTATTGTTATGTTTTTGTTTCAAGATATTTTTAAACAAAATTCTATTGTTTCAAGACATTTTTTTAAAAATTCCTTGTATCACAAAGATGTGCTTTTGAGCATAATCTCATTTAGGTGACATCTGTATAAGAATATCACGGCCCAAAACCTAATATAGGCCATGATGGCATCCAACGTCGCTATCAGGCAAGCTAACAGTGAACTATCTAAATAATTATTCATTTTATTACTTTTATAATCATAAATTCTATTAAATAAAGAAATTAATACATTTTAAATCATGGATACATACAATATTACTAAGATTTAAAATAAAATGGTGACAATAATAATGCAAAACCATTAACATCTACTAGAATATCCCAAAATCCAGTGTCACAAGTTCATGAACATCTAATAGGACAATACAACACTACTACAACATCTGTCGAGAATATAAAATAGACAAGATAAAATAAATGGGCATGATGGAAACTCTGTGTGCTGCGGATCGTGGCGTAGGATGCAGCTCGCCATAAAGTCCCCCCAGCAGGTGCGCTAATGCACCAAGATAACTACCAAAATATATACATATACAATCAGTGTAGAAGTATAGCATGAGTACGTAAATCAACGCATACCAAGTAAGTATCTAGTCTAATCCTGGAGAAGTAGTGACGAGGGATCAACATCGACACTTACTAGTGATCTAATAAATCAATATGTATTAAATTATTAATGAATATGAAGCACAACAATGACAATAAGGTAAGAACTGTAACTAGTAAAAATCCTCCAACATTTGTGACAATATAAATCTCTCAAAATCTCGTTTACTATCTTAACAGATAAGAAATATCAAGTGTTATCTTAAACTAATAAAGAATATCGTATAAATGCCAGGTCTCAATCAAAGAAAAATCTCATGAATACTCGGACTCCTAACAATATTACGCACGAGTTATGTCGAGGTTGTACAACCCGATCTAGATTAGTGTGTACATTACCGAGGGCCGACTAACACGAACCATATATGAATCTCAATATACTCCCAAGGCGTACGGCCCGATCCACAGGAAAGGAAGAAACTTATCAAATTATAGGTCACGTGTTTGCAACACTAGAACAGGAGCTTAAAGTAAACATGAACTTTACCATCTATCAAATATCTCGCCAAACAACTCAAGGTGATACAGGTCGGTCTAACATAATCCCAAATCAAATTTTACTTATAAATTCAAGTATTTAAACTAACAAATTGAGTTCAAATAATTAAAATATTACATCATAAACTCGTAAGTCTACCCGGAAACAAGTATGCGTTTAGCTACGTATGAACTCTCGTCACCTCGTACGTACGTAGTATCCACAACTAGTACCATATAACAATTTAATACATACGAGATAGTTTTTCCCTCATAATATTAGACGCGAAACTTACCTCGCTCCGAATTCAGATAACCGACTCCAATGCCTCTCTAACACCTCAACCAATGCCAAACGATCCAAAACTAGCCAAAACAACGTGCAGACCAATCACAATATACTCCATTTCTCTAAATTTAATAATTTATAACAATTCCCAACTTCGCTCGAAAAGTCAACAAAGTCAACCTCCAGGCCCATGTGCCCGATTTTCGAAATGTTTTGAAGATAATCATTACCCAAAACACAAAAAAGTCAAACATATAATTTATTCCTAATTTCATGTTCAAATTCGTGGTCAAATCCAAAAATATCAAATTCTAGGTTTTCTTCCAAAATTTCATCATATTTACAAAATTCTATGTTTAAATCCATACATAATCCATGTATTTAACTTACAACAAGTAGGAATCACTTACTTTGTATTGCTTGATGAAAAATCCTCTCAAAATAGCTCCCAAATTCGGCCACCCAAGTGGACAATAAGAGAAATGAGAGCTAAGTCCCGAATTAAAACAAGTTTGCACTTGCCCCTCCTTCTTCGCCAACGCGACCTGACCCTCGCGTTCGCGAAGCACAATCTGCTCCAGCTCCAAAACTTCTCTTCGCGAATGCGAGACAAGGCTCATGAACGTGATTCTTCACCAAGTTACCTCATCATGGATGCGACCACTCCATCGCGAACGTGAAGGCCAAGATTCCAGGCCCAGCTTCAACTACGCGAACACCCTGTCGCAAACGCAATTCACCTCAGACCAACACCTTCGAGAGCGCGATTCCCTAGTCGCGAACGTGAAGTGAAAAATAACAGTTGCCATAAATCTTGCTTTGCGAACATGTGTATCCCTTTGCGTTCGCGAAGAACAACACCAGACACCAGCACCAGTAATTACTAAATAAGGAAAAATGGTCTAAAACCTCTTGAATATACTCGAGGCCCCCAGGACCCTGTCCAATCATACCAACAAGTCTCAATACCTTGTCCAGACTTATCCAAAGGCTCAAAATTCCATGAATAACATCAAACCAAGAATCGAGGATCAAAATCTTTATTTTAACTTTCAAACATTCAAACTTCGCCGAATGCGTCCGAATCATAATTAAACATTCCGGAATGCCGTCATATTTTACGTGCAAGTCATAAATCACAATACAAACCTATTCTAAGGATCGGAATCCCAAAGGACATCGATAATATCAAAGTCCACTTCAAATCAAACTTAGACAAATTCTAAAACCTTCAAAATTCCAACTTTCCACATTTAGCGTCGAAACGCTCCCGGACCATCCGATACTCGAACATACTCCCAAGTCCAAAATCATAATACGAACCTATTAAAACCTTCAAAACTCGATTCCGAGGTCCTTTACTCAAAAGTCAAACCTTGGTCAACTCTTTCAACCTATAGCTTTCGAATTGAGAATTATTCTTCCAAATATACTTCGAAGTCCTCAAAAATAAAAACCAAACACACGTGCAAGTCATAATACGTAAAGTGAAGCTACTCAAGGCTTCAAATCACTTAATGATGCACTAGAGCTTAAAACGACTGGTGTGACGACCCGATAGGTCCTTCTAAGTACAAGCCCTTATTTTCGTGCTTTGAGGACTCTATTAGCTCTATTTGATGTTTCCCGATTTGTATGCGCTGTCCATGTCTTTATCCGAAAAGTTTTAACGTAAAAATTTA